GCCAGCAGCCAGGCGTGGCCACCTCGCCGCCACGCTCCGCTGTTCCCGTCGTGGACTGCCCCAGGGCCTGCGGGAAGGAAGAGGAACACCCGCCTGGTCAGCCACAAAGCCAACAAGGACCCATCAAACACACAACAAAAACCAATCAAACCGCACCTCTGGGCGCCCCCCCAGTGCCAGTGCACATAGAATCACAGACTGGTTTGGGTGGGAAGGGACCTTTACAGGTCATCTACTCCAACACCACCCCTGTAGTGAGGAGGGACAGCTTCAACTAGAGCAGGTTGCTCACAGCCCCATCCAGCCTCATCTGGAATGGTTCCAGGGATGAGGCATCAACCACCTTTCAAAGCAACCTGCGCCAGGGGCTCACCCCCCTCAGTGTAAAAAATTTCTTTCCTGTATCTAGTCAAATCTCCTCTTTTAGTTTAAAACCATTACCCCATGGTGGCACTGCCCTGTCAATAGCTGCCAAGCACCCCAATCCACCCATGTCCTCCTTGAAAGCACGGCACCATCCATCCCCATCCACCACAATCCTCAGGACATGACACACACTTGGGCCCTAGACCCCATCCTGAGCTCATCCTCTGCTCATCATTGTGAACCAGCCTCCTCTGACACCCTTTGCCCCTCTGCCAAACATTTCCAAGCCACAGTTGTAGGGGACAAGACCGCTTTGGCCCAACACTCCCCACCCTCTCCCAACCCTGTCGAGCTGGCGTAGGGGTGACCACCCTGTTGTTCCCCACTTGTGTCCCTTGGAGGGTCTCAATAACCATCTGCCCACCCAGCAGAGATGCCAGCAGTGGTTCTATGCTTGGGACTCCATGCTTGCTACCCTCCCTGGAGAGGGTCATCACTGGTAATGTGCTCTGCCCCCACGTGGGCCTGGGCCATTTCAAGAAAAATGGGATGAGGAGAGTCAAGAAGAACTGAGCCCACCCATGCTGTGGGGGATCATGAGGGTGAGGAGCTTGTAGCTCACCATGGGAAAGGATGTGGAGGGTGCCTGACCCTTTGCTTTTAACAAACACCCTGAATAATGGCCCAGGGAAGACCAGGCTGGGAAGAAATCTCAGGATGATGATGCCTGGGCCAGTGAGGCTGCCCTCCAGGTCCAATTGACTTGCCCTTCCTAAACCTCAGGAGATGTCCCCTCGCTTCAAAGCCCAAGCAAGGCGCTGAGAGCCATTAACCATTTAGTGTCCCACCAGCAGCACTCATCCAGTGTGCTCACAGACAACTCCTGACACTTCCCCTTCAGCCCCAGGTCCTGGCGTGGCTGGGAAGCTGTGCACAAGGGCACATCTGGAGACACCACTGTCCCCATGCTACCTCCATCACCCACCCAACACCTCCGAGTCATCCTGATGGCTGACCTCTGAATCCATCCTAAACAAAGCTGCCTGCCTTTGGCTCCCCAAAATCAAGATGATGCCAGGTTGGACAGCTGGTAAGATGGCATGGCAGAGCGACAGCCACCCTGGCCACAAACAACACCAGAAGGAGGACTGGATGCCTCTCTACCACTACCACATCCCCCCAGAAAAGCACTAGGAGCACCCAGGAGGAGAAAGGATCACCAGACTGATGTACACAGCAGCACAGGGAAAGCAGACCACAGAGACATCCTGCTTTGAGGGTGGTGGGGAGGGAGCGCGGGGCTGCGACGGGGGCACGAGGCATGCGGAGGGCACGGATGGGTGTGGAAGGCTGGCAGGGAGGAGGTGGGATGGGAGGGCAGCTGGCTGACAGCCCTAATTCATCTCTGGACCCGTGGGAGCAGGGGGGTAGTGGGACGGGAGGTCAAGGCGGCGCTGCCGCCAGAAAGAGTTGGGGCAGGAGCCAGAGGGACCCGTGGGGAAACAGAGCAGGGGGAGCACTGGCGTGGCGGGGTCCCCAGATTACTGACCTTTCCAGGGTGTCAGAGCAGTAGTTGTCTCTTCTAAAAATTAAAGAACAAGGGAAAGTTAAGGCAAAAGGGCAATGGAAAGCGCAGGCTCAAGACGCTTCCCTCAGCCAGCCCTCGCCCCGGGGCTGGGGAACACAAAGTGGAGGGGGTAGCAAGTTTGATGCTGCTGCCCAAATTGGGACCTGCTCCTCTGGGACCACGGCCCCCCTGTCTGGGAAAAGTGCTGCGTGAGCTGAGATGAGCCACCTTTGGGGTCCTGGACCTGGGGGAAACCCTGGCAGAGTCCATGCTTGCACCCCAAGCAAAAAGTGAAGCGTGGGGGCTGCAATTTGGGGGATTCTGGGGGTTTGGCTCTCCCTTGCGCTCCTCCCATTCCCCTCCAGTGTAGGTTCAGGGACCACCCCTCTCAATAACCCTGTGGACAATCCCCAAAGGGTTGTCCTTCCACCAAGTGTCCATCCACTGAGCACTCCATTGCATTACAGAGTGCATCAAATCCGCCTCTGAATGAGGTGGTGTGCCTATAACAAGTGCTATGTGTTAAAGCACTCGTTGACCTCCCTGAAAAACCAGACTACTAAAAGTTTTAGAAGATGTACACTACATAAGGCCCTGTCACATGGCCCCAGAAAGGCTCACATCATGGTATCCACCCAGATTAAACCTCCGTTTGCAGGGCAAAAAACTCCAAAACACTCACTAAGCCTCAGGGAAAAGGGCTCTAAAACTGTCCCCCAAAATCTCACCAGTGAGACTTTTCTTGTGCTGTGGCTTTATGGAAATTATGGGAGGTCAAAGGGCACCGATGTTGTTCCCTGATGGAATTCATAATCAGACCAACTAAGCTAAAGGGGATCATACAATAATCTTAAGACTTATGCAGGACGCTTCACTAGGTCCCATCTGATGCTGCCATCATGGCACAAATTGTACAAACTACCACTTAAAGGTGAGAAACCAAATAACTAATAGCTCTCACAAAAACATCACCAGAGAGAAGTAATTTTCTGGTGGTTCTTTTTCCAGCCTGCATCTGTGGATGCCAAATGAGGTCGTATGTTAATAAAGCTTTTAACCTTAGAAACACATCAGGAGCCTACAAGATCAAAGCTAAGGATGTGCACGTGGCTCTGGACACGTTGGGTGCTCAGCACAGCCACCCTGGTGCTGCAGTGTCGACAGGGCTGGGCTCAGGCAGCTCCACAGTGCAAGAGCTGTGTGGGTGGGTTTATGTGGGACAAGGATCACCAGGAAGGCTGGTGGGGAAGAGAACTGAGACAGTGCCCAGGCAACGCTAATGATGGCTTAACGGGCAGGTAAAGATGCTCACGTCCATCACTTACAGCACAGGGCTTTTTTTTTGGGAACAAATGGTTGTGAGGCTCATCAACATCCAAGGTTAGGTCTACATCAGGGCTGCAGGGATGGAGATGAGCATCTGAGGTAGGACAGCACTGAGCCTGGTATCTTCTGCTCTCCCTAGAACAACCACTTCCCAGGGTCTCAACATGCCTCACTCCCCATGCCATGATGACAAGCTAAGTGTCCCCATGAGTACTTTGGGACTGCCCCCTATCTCTGCGGGCTCTGTGCCACTAAACAGCCAACCTCTCAGCCATGAGCCATCCTGCCTGGGGATGAGGAAGGCTTCTCTCCCCTTCCACTCACTCCCCATGCCATGATGACAAGCTAAGTGTCCCCATGAGTACTTTGGGACTGCCCCCTATCTCTGTGGGCTCTGTGCCACTAAACAGCCAGCCTCCCAGCTATGAGCCATCCTGCCAAGTGACCTGGGCATGAGGAAGGCTTCCACTCCTCTCCAGACATACAAAGACAAGAGGTGAGGAAAAGACAAGGCAGAAGATCCAGGGACACAATGCTTCACAGAACAATTACCCTGTGCATGGTGCTTGAACTAGTGGCCTCACTTATTCCCAAACCCGGGGAGAAAATGATGGAAGAGAAAAATGACACAACGATAAATTATTCACAACTTTGCAAAGACATCAGCATGGGAGATGAGATGCCTGGGATGATGGTGATGCCTGGATAGATGGCAGCTGGTCGACAATACATCATCCCCTTTCCAGGGAGACCAAAACTATCCAGGAGGGTAAAAAGGGTGCATGGTTTTGCTGGGGGGAGTGTCAAAACATGCTGCACAGCTGTTGTGAAAAAGAGTGAGAAATGCCACGGAAGCACCTACTGAGCCCCCAGACAATGGTTTATTCTGGGATGGGTGTGGGGGAAACTGTGCTGTGGCCCTTGGGGTGATCCCTCAAGTTTGCCATGATGACCCTGAGTGCCACCTCTCCTCCCACCATTCAGCATGGGAGGATTCCTTCAGAGGCTCTCCTAGGAATCTGTCAGAGCGAGAAGATGTAAACCCGCAGCCAAGTCCTAACTTTGCATCAACAATGGACCCCAAACTCTATGCCAAACACCTCACAACAGCAGTGGACATGGGAGTTACATCTGGATGCTTTCCACTTTCTGTTCACTTGCCATGGCCTCTGACCCACGTGCCACAGCAGAAAGGATCAACAGCAAACACACCTCTCCAGCAAAAGACAGAGAGAGACCCGCCCCACGCCTTGAACGCTGGAGGTCTCACCACTCTGCTGTGTCCCCAGCCTGGCCGGCCCCCTGGGCCCTACTCACCATAGAGGATCATGCTGGCGTTGGTGTTTCCTAGCTGGTTGGATGCTACACAAGTGTAGTTGCCATAGTCTTGCTCGGAGACGTTGAAGAAAGTCAGTTTGGAGAAGAAGTCTTTGTTCTCCACTTTCAGTCCTTTCTGCCCTTCAACCAGCCTGAGAGAAAGACAGAAGGGGACGGGGTCATGGGGATGGCATCAGGAGGAGGAGCGACAGCTATTTTCTATGACCCGGGCCTGCCTGTGAGCAGGGACATCACATCTGTGGGGAGCAATCAGGTGAGGGGAAGGTACTGGGAAAGACACAGGAGATGGATGCTGCTCTGCTAGGTCTCCTCCCTTAGCTGCCAGCCAACACCACCCCTGTGCTGTACAGAGGCATCCTCACACATGCAGAGGCACATGAAGGGGATGACTGCTGCACAGCGACAGGGCTGCTCACACACCCAGGGAAAGTGCCTGGAAAAGGCCTCTTCCCACCCAGTGGAAGAGTGAGCCCAGCTTCCCCCTCACACATCTGCCCTGAGGCCTCCTCAGTCCTCCCTGCTCACACCTTCCTCTCCCCTCTCCCCTGCCAGCCCTCCCTGTGCCCTGCTGGGGCTGGCAGCACGGGCAGCAGTGAACACCTTGGGGTGGACCCAAATGCCGGGCGGTGCTGCTCAACCGACACAAATGCTGACACCTTAACCAAGCGCCTTGGCTTCCCTGAACTCCTGTCCCCGCCTGCTCTGCTCCTGCAGCTCTTTCACTTGCTAATTCCTCCCAGGAGATGCCAGATTCCCTTCATCACCCTGGCTGGGCTCTGAAGGCTGATCCAGGCGGGCTGCACCCGCTCCCACCGCTGCTTGGCAGGCCCTCGTGATCTGACCTACTTCTGAGCGACACCTTTCATCTGCCACGCAAACATCCGCTGCTTTGTCTGCTCTGCCTGCTCCTTTCCTCCCCAAACTAGCTAGGCAGGCAGCCCCAGCCTCCACTCCAGCTTCTCTAACATCTTTGGCAGCTAAAGCACGCCTCCTTATTAGCCACCCTTGTGGCTTGTCCTGTGTTTGGCTGCACCATGGCCCCTCTGGGTTTCCCAGGGAGAAGTAATGCATATGTGAGTGAAAAAACTTTGCCTGGGGTCACATTTGCTCCAGAGTGGGACCCTGCTCCTGGCTGCACTGCTGCCCAGCTGCATCCCTGCCTCACTGCTGTGCCGGGACACGAGAGCTGCCACTTGACCTAAAAGTGTGACTTTTGCCCCAACGCTGAGCAGGGTAGCACGCTGGGCAGCATAACAAACTCAACATCATGTTCTTTGCCTTTCCAAGAGCAAGGGGCAGACACTGCCTTCTGGCCAAAGCACTGCAAGAGATGACAGGGGTTTCATTGGCTCCTAAGTGCTTGGATTTGTGCTGCCAATATCCCTCTCATCTGTTATGCTTCACCCAATTTACCACAAATTTACCATGGCACCATAAAACAGAGGTGTGGACGACTGCTGCCCTGCCCACACCATCTACTCAGATGGAGCCCAAAACCTGTCTGACAGAGGCTCCTGCAAAATCCTCCTCTATCAAATATTCCTCCTCTCTTTTCCACCACGCAGACAGCACTGAGTTAAATATAAAGCCCTGGCCTGTTTTTAACAGCTACCGAGCAGCGGTGGGTGCCACGATGCTGGCTGCTCACCAGGATGCCCAGATTATCCCCTAAAAGGCACAGGGGGCAGGACATGCCCTCTCGTTTTGGCCCCCCTGCCCCGGGTTCTTACCGCTTGTCGTCTTTGTACCACTGGAAGTTGGCAGAGGGGACGGCAGAGGCCTCGCACAGGAGGATGCCCTTCTGCCCCACCGGCACCCCGGTGCTCTTGGCGTCCGAGATGTACGGCGGGTCTGCGGGGAAGGAAGATGGGAAACCTGGGGTCAGTGCCCAGTGGCTTCGGGGCATCCTGCCCCATTCCATTGCTCCTCAGGCTCTCTTTTCTTTCCCTGTACTTGGGAAGGAGGCAAAGCCACTCCTGAGCCCATGCCGAGCTCCTGCCACTCCCGCATGGCAGCCCAGGGGTGTTTGGGCTTGTGGGGGACCTCAGAGCACAGCCAGGAAAGGGCTCCTCAGAGGACTGGAGCACCCTGGCTCTTGGGCACCATACGAACCCCTGTGCTGACACCTTGCAGCTGAAGGGCTGGCTAGAGTGGGGTTTAGGAGAGTCTTCACCTCTGTCTGAGCACAAAATAAGACGCTTTCTTCCTTGCTCTCTTTCTTTCTCTCCCTCATTTTTTCAAAAGGAAAAAAAATCCTGTTTACTGCTCACTTCTCTCCTCTCCCAGGAGGTTATCAGCACAGCATCTCACCATGGGCGGAAAAGCCAGGCTGATGGAGACAGCTGAGGAGGAGGTGGTGAAAAAATTGGAGCTTGAAAAGAAAGGGGGAAAAAAAAAGGCAAAACACCACCTACTCAGAAAATTGCCATTGCCTGCCTAGGTGCTGGGGCCCAAAAGGCTGGGTTTGCCCTGCTTCCCACCTCTGAAGTGCCATCCCCTCCTGGGGTGGCACGGTGACCCCAGCCCACAGTGATCCCCAGGCTACTCACAGTTGACAGTGACTTTGACTCGCTGGACAACAGGCGCTGCCACGTCGTTGGATGCGCTGCACTCATACTCGCCCGACTGCTCCCGTGTGATGCCCGTGATCTCCAGGTACTCATCCTCACTGATGAAGCCCACGGCTGCAGAGAGAGAGGGCTGTGAGTGACAGGTAGGCACAGCAAACCTGTGCCCCAAAAGTCCCAGCCCCACCATCCCCAGAGAAGCCCTGCCAGAAAGGTGCCTGTGAGCACTGGACCTCCACCCTGCTGAGAGCATTGCTTGCTGGAGATAACATCCCCAGCGTGTGTAGGGTGGGTGAGGTGGTGCTGGCCAAACCTGTGCTCTGCCAGAATGACCTGAGATCATCTCTCCTTGTCATCGGCGCATCCCACCCCACCCTCCTGCTGGGTGGCACCATGGGGCTTGACCAGCTCTACTCAAGACACCCCTCTCTAATTTTTCAGCTCCAATTAATTCACAGCCAGTTTATTACCATTAGTTGTGCTGCCAACACCTCCCTTCAGCCGAGACGCTTTGTCCCTGCATCGCTCCGCTCCGGGCTCCTTTCTGCGCTCCCTGTGGGGGGCTGCACTTACCCCCCTCTCCCCCGACTGGTTGCATCCCTTCCTTTTGCCTGGCATCTTGGGGCCCCCTCCCTCCTTCCGAGAGCTCGCTTGGCTTTGAAGCGCTCCTGGAAAGCAGCGGCGTGCAGCTGGGGAGGCGCAGGTGTTGGGCAGCGATAGGCTGCGGGCTGACGGAGAGCACGGCCTTACAACGAACACAGAGCTCAATAAAGGAACTCGCTGATTAGGACACGTCTGCCAAACATCCCAGAGAAACGCCTCTTGCCCCAGAGTGAACTGCACCAGCGTGTTTCCAGTAGCCCCCTGAACGGGGGCAACTTCTCCCTTATGTCCCTTCACATCTCCCCGTTGTCTCTCCCGCGGCCGAGGTGCCGTAATTACTGCGCAAAGCATCTCCGAGACCGGTGTCACACTTAATATTCCTATAAATTTTAAACGGTAGTCCTTGGTACATATGTGTGGCAATTGGTGTCATATTTTAATTAGGCTTGCCCTACACCATCTGAAATTAATAATAGCTCGAATTACCAGTGTAATTTATAAATTAACATTGCTGCAGCATTAGGAAATAAATTAGCTCCGGACAGCTGTTTCGGGGAACGAGTGCCAATGGCAGAGGGGCCGAGCACAGGTCTCCCGGCCCTGGGGGACCTGGCGAGCTCGGGTGGTTGAACTGGGTGATCCCACGCTCACCCTCGCCTCCCACCCGGCTGCTGCCATCCCTGACCAGCGTGACCCGATGGGCTGCAGCTTGCCACGCTCGACCGGTCAACCGTACGCAGCCCGCTCCTAACAAGAGCATGCAAAACATACAGGCAGGAGGCTCCTGTCGGGGCACACGCCGTCTGCATCCCACCAGCTGATGCTCTTATCACAGAATCACAGAACGGTTTGGGGGGAAAAGGACCTTTCAAGATGATACAGCCCAAGCCCCATGCAGTGAGCAGGGACATCTGCAGCTAGAGCAGGGTGCTCAGAGCCCCGGCCAACCTCCCCTGGGATGGTTCCAGGGATGGGGCAGCGACCACCTCTCTGGGCAGCCTGGGCCAGGGGCTCACCACCCTCAGTGTCAAACATTTCTTCCTGCTGTCTAGTCTAAACCTCTTTTTAGTTTAAAACCATCTCTCCATGTTGCCACAACAGGCCCTGCTAAAAACATTATCCCCACCTTTCTCATAGGCCTATTTAAGCCCTGGCAGCCCCCAGCAGGTCTCCCCAGCTGGTGCCTTCTCCTCTCAGGCTGCCCCAGCCCAACTCGCTCCTGCTGGGCTGCCAACAGAGGAGTTCCCCCCTCAGGGCATTGCTCCAGCAGGTCCCTGGCTCTGCTGTGCTGAGGACTCCAGAGCTGCCCCAGCACTGCAGAGGGGCAGGATCCCCTCCTTGTCCTGCTGCCCACCCTCCTGGGGGTGCAGCCCAGGGTGCCAGTGGCTTCTGGGCTGTGAGTGCACATGGCCAGCTCCTGTCCAGCTCTTCACCTGCCAGCACCAGCACCCCCAAGTACTTCTCCACAATGCTCCTCTCAATCACATCGTCCTTCAGCTTGTATTGATACTGGGAGTTACCCCAAGGACCTTGCACTTCACCTTGTTGAACCTCATGAGGTTCACACAGGCCCACTTCTCCAGCTTGTCCAGCTCCCTCTGAATAGCATCCATTTCATAGCACCTCTCCCCAGAGTACATAAATAGTGAGCGTGGTCACACCCCACTGCCCACAAGGCAGCTGCCTCGATGGCACATGTACACGAGGGTTTGCACGTGAGGCCCCGAGCTGGCACCAACACCATTTCTGTAACGCCCTTGTGCAACTCGACGTGGTGACCTCCTGCAACCCAGGTGCCTGCTGGTGCGATCCCACGTGCCACTATTCTCAGCTAAAACTAGTGCAAGTATGGTCAGCCAAAACAAATTCACACCTTGGCTCTCCCCTGCACGGGATCTCACGGCAGCTGCCTCTGCACGATGGCCTCGAGGCTTTGCACGGCCGCTGCTGCCTCGCACGCTTGGCAGCTGAGCTGAGGACCCCGTGCTTCCTGCTGTCCCGAGCTGACCTCGCTGGGAAGGCAGCCCTGTGCCACCCCATGAGCTTCAGAAAGGTGTGAAGAGAGTTCCCCCCTGCACCTTGCTGGGATGAATTGCTGGCATCTATCTGCACCCTCAGTCCCACGCCAAAATTCCCACCTGAGTCACAAGCTGCTGAGCTCGTCGGTGCTTAGCGCAACCGAAGGGCCAGATAAAAAGGTGTTACCCCCAAATTGATACCCTTGGGAGATGCACAAATTGCAGTGTTACTTCCAGAAGGCCTGCAGCACTGTGTGCTGTGAAAAAAAAGAGAGAGGGGGGAGAAAAAAAAGATCCCTTTTATGTTTGACCTAGAATTGGCTTCTCTGTAGCACAGCGCTGCCTGCTGATAAAATAACGACACAGCCGGTGGCCTTCAGACGCTCCGTCTGCAAATCTGACTCGGGTCTGTGCAAAGGCTCAGATAACACTCTGCTTCCTAACTCACCAAAGGCCCTTCCCCGAGCGCGTCGGAGCCGGCTCGCACGCGGTGAGAATTAGCTCTCGCCGTAGCTGAGCCGCGCGTGCATCCCTGGTTTGATCTGGGAGCAAAGCAGCTCGAGTGCATTTCGTTACCCAGCAAAAGACTTCATTAAAGTAACTGCGAGGGTCAGCTTTCCGCCCGCAAAAGCTCAGGAAATTGAGAGATGAAGGCTTCCTCTGTTCCTGCGTAGTGCTGAAGTCTGAGATACGTGCATGGTAGTCGGCCGACAGAGAGTGAAAGAGTTCAGGGTTCCAGGGTTTGGCACACTTTGCTTCGGCTCTCGCTGGATTTTGGATATGACCCATCGACCCTGATGCGTGGAGCCCACCCTGGACCAAAACGGGATGCTTGGCATCAAAGCTGATGCCTGCTTTCACCCTGAGCACCATCTGCTATTACTTAATGCTCAAGTACTACTTGTGGCCATCCCTGCTAGAAGCTCTGGCCAGATCCTGCTTCCTTAGTGCCAGCTACAGCATCTCAAGGAATAACGTGACATGAGAGATCCCTGCCCTGAGGGTGCCACTTCACCGGTGATGCCGGGTGCCCGGGACACCCGTTGCATCTCCCATCCACCCCCAACAAAGGACTTCAAAAGAAAACCGGGTCCACAAAGCAGCTCTGCTGTCCCCTGTGCTGCCAGGTCACGCCAGCACCCGTGTCAGCCGCGGGGAGAAGACGCACACCGGGAGTGATTGTGGAACCGCTCGCCCCTTGGCCTCTGTGTTTTTGCCTATTTATAATGGGAAGTTGAGTTGATAGTTGGACACATCTCATTCATTAGTGACTGCCAGGAAGGCCACAACAAATAGATGGGACCCAGGGAGCAGGGCCAGGGTTAAGCAAACAAATCTGCGAGGGGAGACCTCACGTTACAGCAAGTAACAGGGTGCCCATGTCAGCAAGGCTGCCAGGAACCCTCGAGGCTGGCAGGAGGGACTTTTATTCACATGCAGGGTTGCATGGGGATGCAGATGTTGCTTTGGGTGAAGCTCAGTTCCTCAGGCTTAGAAGCAAGGTAAACCCCAACGCAGGTTTTGGATGGGGATTATTACTCCAAGCAGTCTCTCATATATCAGGCCCTTAGGGATTACACCATGGTCTGTTCATCTGAGGCTGGAGCTAGAGAGATGCCATGGCTGCCTCAGTGCCATTGTCCCTGCCTCTGAAAGCACTCAGAGCTTGGGGATGCTTGGGGCAGAGCTGGCCCAGGGTCCTCCAGCCCTGGAAGCTCTCCTGGAGCTACTGGTCCTGCTCTGCCTGAATTGATGGTGGGAACTCTTCAAGGCTGTCTCTGCTTGAGCACAATTAGGAGCTAAAATATTGCAGGAATTAATAGGAGAGCTCTCTCATCTCCTCAGGAGCTAAAAAAGCAGCACAGCCAGCACCCATCGTCGTTATTATTAATACTAATAATATAATACAGGCCAGAAATGGAACAGCCAGGCACTAGGCAAAAGCACAATCCTCGCTCATCGGCCGAGGATGATGAACTAACCCGGTTCTCCACCGCAGCAGGAGCAGCCCAGAACACCGAGTTATAAATAACCAAGTGGTGTCCCTCATGTGGCACAGGTAAGCCGTGGTGGGGACACCACAGTGACTGCCATGAACGAGGCAGTGCCTGGTCCCTGCAAGGGCCCCAGAGCACAGGAGCTGTGGAGGTGAGATCCCAGTCTGACATGGAGCACCTGAGGGATGGCAGAAGCTGCACTCAGGGTCCTGCACAATGCCAATGCAACAAGGCACAGGCAGGTGCCTCGTGCATGCCTGTTCCTCCTCCTCTCCTTTCTCTAGCCCTTGCTTCTCCTTGTTCTCATAGCTTGACTTGTCTCCCTTCTGCCTCCTCCTACCTGTTTGCTTCCATTGAGCCTCTGACAAGATAATAACTCACCAGAAAGCGAACTCCCAGATTAATTACATGCCACTGTCCCCCAGCTCACTGTTGCAGCCACGTTCATGTCTCTAGGATGCATCACTTAGAGCTTTCCCTGGCCCACGATGCCATTAAA